ACTAAGTCAAGTTAGTAACTGAGTTGAGTTAGTAACTAAGTCAAGTTCGTAACTGAGTTGAGTTAGGAGTCAAGTCAGTAACTGAGTTGAAATATATCAAGTAATAAGGTAAGTATGCTCTTCGTTGAAACTAATATGAGCGATACTTTTTTCGACGTGTTTTTTTATCACCGTCGTTTAAACAATCGAAGCTGTCAGCAATGCTTTTGAGACAATACGTAAATAGATTTCAAGTCTATGATAGATATTTAAAAAGCAAGCGCAAGAGATGATCGTTGAAAATTAGATCGTTGAAGTAAATATTGTGGGTAATAAATGATCGAAAAAATTCGGCGATCTTTATTTCGACCATCTTTATATCGGCGATCTTTATTTCGATGATGTGTATTTCGGCGATCTTTTTTTTCGATTATGTTCCATTCGGCGCGAGTTTCGGCGATCTCACTTTTCGGCGATCTAGCATTCGGCGAAGAGCATTACATTCTTTTCAACTACATGAAAGTGCGTCAATTGTAGAAAACTATTCATACGTTATAAGAAGTTTTAAACATAGCACAACTTAGTCTGAAAATTTTTCTTTCGACTAAAAAGTAAAGATATGTTTATATAATACTAAGTAAATGATATTTGTCCAGTATCCAACGCTATTTAGCCTACAGAAAAAGAGGTATATGGTTATTTAAAAAGGAACATATGAATAAAATCGATACAACAGTCTTTACCTTTTAGCATCAAAATGAAACTTAAGTTCTTAATGAAAATTTATTTTAAAAATTCCATCATATATCGACTAGATAGGGAAATATGTTCAGCTCGTTTTTTTTTGTTGATTTAGCATAGAATCATTCGAAGAAAAAAAAAGGCAATCGTCCAGTACTTAGGAACATACATAGTTCGACCAAAGGAAACTCTGAGCATTCCATAAAATATGTCAGATATTTCTTTTTTTGCTATTTTTTGAAATTTTTTTCTCATTGATTTTTGTACTGACACAATTTTGTACTATACTAAAGTCTACTCATCAGTAAGAATTGATAATTATGTAAGTCTGAATGAACCTCATAGTTTCATTTTTTCTTTTACAATAGAAATCCTCGACGTGTAACGAAATCCGCAGTGGCAAACTTAATTGAACATATGGAAAAATGCACTAACATGAGTTCAAGTGATGAAGAATCTGATTTTGCTGCCAATAAAAGTGAGGACGACAGCAATACTAAAAGTAATAACGATGGCAAAACTATTATACAAAAGAATCAACGACCTATTAGTCTTTTACGTTTTGTAACTCGACTAGATGGTCGACATTTACTGTCAAAGATGAGTAGTGATGCTGAATTACAATCGAAGGCTTTGACTCTATTTTCGGAAGATTCAGAATCTTTTGACATGGCACAAATCATATATGATTCCGATAATGAAAATCACAATGATGATCACGATGTCGAATATCCCGGTGCTGTTACTACCGCAATGACCGAACAACAACCAATTGAGCATGATCTCGATGATATTCGTCAAAAGACATTGGAACATAATCGACAACAACTTAAAGGAATTCAATTTGCAAATGCAGGTGATGGAAATTTAAAAGTAGTAAATAGTTACGCAGTTACTTCAAATACGTGTACTCTTATTTAAATATGTACTTTTATTTGTCTATCCTACTCCGCGATGTTAAACATTCAGAAACCAATTAAACGTCCTCGTTATCTTTCGATAAATCGACAACATCATAAATTCATATCAATTTGAAAGCTCAATTATTAAGTCAAAGGATTGAAAAAGATTTAAGCAGTTTAGTTTCAGGGTATTACTAGATTAAATGAATTCAGATTTATTTTTTTGAAAAATTAATTTGACAGAATACTATACTGTAAGATTAATAAAATACATAAAGTCACAAATAATCAAGTTGATTTCTATTTCAAATATCAAGACTTTTGTGCGATCACGATTCTTTCGAACTTGCCGGTGAATGATTTCGTACAAAATCTAATTTCAAGAACTTTCAAAGCTTCTTGAACTGACAACTAACTGTAGCGTCAATTCTATCGATCTGTAATAGATGTACGATCCGAAAGCTTTGTACAATTCTCGAAACCAGAACAAATCATTATATTCAATTGATCGATATGTCGATATCGAAAGACATTTTAGCATTTTCTATCATGTTACTCTTGTCTCTGAAATGTTGAACGTCGTGAAATAGGATTACCGTGCTAGTTAACAGTTAATTACAACCTCATTAAATAATCTAATCTCAATATGATATCTCAATAGGTTTTTTTTGTGAATCAATTTTTCTCTATTGTCAAAATAATAAATATTTATCATATACAATATACGCAGTTCACATGCTTTATCTACCGCATGTGATTAGATAAAACAAGATTACATAGGTACCATGGGCATGGCATTCATACATGCTCGTAACCGATTGGCTATTTTAATAGCTATATTATCTATTTGTCAAAGATTTCTTATCCAATATTGCTATTTTCTAATTTATTCTTAAGAATTGATCCTGTTCAGTTATAGTCGAATTTGATTTTTTTAGATGTGTATTACAATGAATATCTTAATACTAATTTTAGTATAAATTTTGAGACAGAAAAAAAGAAGTTTTTTTAGACAGGTGTATATAAAGTAGAGTAAGATTTTCAGTATGTGAAAAGCCTATCGGTGTTCATCGGAGGAAACTACGATAAGATGAGCTTGATTTATGTGACAAAAATAATCCAGACATTGATTTGATAACTAATGAATGATGATGATCTTATGTTTTTTTAAGATAAAATTAGACTCGAAGAAATATATCTAAATATACATAATCTATTAATTAACATTACATTGTATGAAATATGCCTAACTTTGGGAAAAAGTTTACATGAGTACTATTGGGATAGGCCCATGGTTCAACAATAATAAGAGTTTCAACTTTTGAACAATTGTCTTTAACTTGTTGTTGATTTTGATTAATTATTGTTAACAATACATCATTACGAATGACAAGTTCGATTAGACATGGAAGATAAGTTCGATATAGAAGTTGTTCAGCATAATCCGCATGAATATCATGCAAAATAAGCGTTGCTAAATGACGAAATTCAATAGAATTATTTGTCGTCGTACTTTTTTCTTCTTGTTCAAGAAGATTGAATACTTCAAGTACTTTAAGATGAGGTAAAGTTTGTGCAACACGTTGAAAAAAACCATGTTCAAAAGGTTTGACATCATCAAAAAGTAATAACATAGTAACATTTGAAAATCTTTTTTCAACATCGAATAATGGAAATCGATTCGAAATAAAGTCAAGACGAGTACCAATAAATGGAAGAGAATAGATTTGACATTGACCATATCGATTATTAAAATAATCAATTGTACAATCAATAGATTGTTGATATTGAAAAAAACTTTGACGAATTTTATCGAGTTTTATATGAGCAGCATCTTTTAAAATTGAACGAATATGAAAATCAAACTGGCATAAATGAGGCATATATGAAATAATATCTCGTTGTAAGTCCAATCCACCAATAAAGTGATTTCGTCCATTTTCATTTTCACCGATAGCTAATAATAATGTTAAATGTTCGACACTTGATAAACGTTGTAAAAAAGGAATAATACATTGTTCATACTCGAAAATATTTCTATATATTGTCATTTTTAATTCTTTCAAATTAGGACAAGATATCTAAGTTAAATAAAAAATAATATAAAATTACACCAAAAAAATGACTTACCAATGATATTTGTGATAAATCTAATTCTTCAGATAGATAGACGTGCATCATGCTCACAACGAATGAATGTAATTGTGCTCCTATTTGATTCAATAAACGAACACAATCGCCGAATTGATGAAATGTAATACTAATATGAGTAAGATGAACTGTTTGAGGAAAGAACAATTTTTCATCACTTGATGGAATGGATATAGCACAATCAGGATCAAATTCAAACGAGTTAATTAATGACATTATTGGTGAATGACAGTAGAATGAAAGTATATCATTAAGTTTCTGAGAAAGATCGAAAAATTGAGGTATGTCTGAGAATAGAGAATAGCGCCGTACCTCGTCATCACTATAAAAGTCTAAAAATACACAAATCAAATAAGTTTTCGATCCATATAAATCCAAAAATTATGAAACTAATTTATTATCTGTTCATAGTATTCAAACATAAACATTATCTATTCATCTTAGATGAATTTTATTCATCATATTAAAAAGTGACATCGAAATTTCAGTAGTAGAACTTCTAGAAAAAAATTCATTTGAACGAAATCGAGATAAAACGATATTCAGCTGTTTGATTTTCTATACTGAAACTACGTTATAGAATCGAAAATATACTCAAACATAAATTCTCTTTCAATCATCAGGATTAGATTTCCAAAATTCTGAAATTATAAATTAAGTCGATTCTTGTCTAACGAGGTGTATATATTCAAATAAAAAGAGAACAATTATGTATAACTTACTTAATGTGACAGGTGTTCCTGTATTACGATTCAAACGGCCGGCCATTATTTTTAAATGCTTTAAATTATTGAGACAACTTTTATCATCAATTCTTTCAACAAGCTGATAAAGACTTGATATATGTACAAGATTGATTGCAAGTGATTCAATATAATTAAAAATACATGGTAAAGTAGATAATATGAATTCTTGAATAATCATTTCATATGGTGAACCAAAATAATCAGAAGTTAGATCGATCGAATGACATTGGTCAAGAGCAAGTTGTTCCAAATGAATATTTTTGGTACCAATCATAGAATAGAGTAATACAGCTCGAGGTTGGATTTTATTCATAATGGATAAAATTATCTCATCTGGTAAGTCGAGCAAGCCGACAAGATTTTCTATACAAAACAATAGAACAAAATATTTATATTAATAAATAGTTAAATACTTGTGTTTGATAAGCAGATCATTGTTTATTTGACGTATCGGTGAGAATATTGAACATGTGCAAATTTATTTACATATATATACATATATATAGAAGCCTTTCCGCTTCACAATTATTGTCTTGAAATGACCGTTAATAATAATCGGCCAAATTTCAGACCAAATACTGAAGCGATCAGAATGAATATGAATATGAATGGGTTATCATCGGTCTCAATCCTATTCAAGTCATAGATAGCCAATCATATTCTGCTTTTTGATCGCTTCGCTTTAGTCAATGTCAATGTCGAATATCAAATGAACTTATGCACACAGTTTGGATCAAAGGTCAGAAAAAAAATCGAGAAAAAGGCATAAAAAGAGAAGGTATATTTAATGGATAGATTTTATTTTTGCAAAAATTGAGTCCAACGAAATGATAGCGCTATACTACACGCACATTTTCATGATACTACAAGCAATTTTGTTAAGAGTAACCATCGTCGAGAAATTGCCCATGTAGCCGACTTTTAGAAATAATGTACATTGCAATGCATTATTTTTCAATAGAAATCCAATGGATGCAATTACATGATAATGAAACCCAAATAATCCATTACAATGCATTTTTTATAAAAATTCATCGCAATTTATTGAAACATCAATGCATTAAAATGCATTGTTTGGGTTGCATTATCATGTAATTGCATACATTATTGTTAAAAATTCATTGTAATGCATTGAGAACGTCATACTTTATACTCTTATCCTTTTATGCTTACCTTCGTACCCTTAACTATATTTGCTTAACCCTATACCTTTAACTATAAACACTCAATGATACATCCTTAACCATAAACCCTTATGCCTATATCATTAATCCTATACCTCTAACCCTACACTCCAAACCTTTACACCTATATCCTTATTCCTATACCCTTAATACTAAACCCTAAAAACTATATGCTTAACCCTATATCCTTATTCCTATACCCTTAATACTATATCCTTAACCCTGTATCCTTATTTCTGTACCCTTAATACTAAACCCTTAATAATATATCCTTAACCCTATATCCTTATTCCTATACCCTTAACCCTGTATCCTTATTCCTATACCCTTAATACTATACCTTTAATACTATACTCTTAATACTGTACCCTTTTTCCTGTACCCCTATATCTATATTCATAATCCTATACCCATATGTCTGTATCGTTAATAGGATAACGTTAATACTATACCTTTATTCCTATACCCTTTACGGTATACCTTTAGCTGTAGACAGCTATATTTTTATGATTGCTCTTCTTTGACTGTAGCTAGATGTTGATTTCCTTTTGACCACATGCTGTGACTTTATGTCAAGAACAGAAAAAGATAAAAGTTTTGCTATTGAATTTTATTTAAAGCATTGGTGAAAGTTATCCTGGAGAACGTCCTAACTATTGGTAGTCTTTGATTGGTGTGCACGACGAACATATTAGCTTGAATTTATTCTTGATGAGTCTACTTCTCTGATAAGCTTGAGAAGCTCATTGTGGTTCGAAATGGAATGTTGGCGAAGTATAATGAAGTATCTGAGTATTATTGTGTGAAAGATGAACATAGAATTAATTCAAAGCAATTGAAGCACGCTTTGCTGTGGTAAACTTGAAGTCATTAAAAATTTAGCGAGGATAACCTTGACGCAGTTTTGAAATATGATGAAGCACACAAGTTTCGCCTTTTCTTCTTCACCTAAAACTTGCAGGTATCTTTTATCACTAAAGCATTAGATTTATATGTTGGTGACTGCATTTGGGAGAATGTTCGGTAAAAAGGCGTGATACATGGTAAGCGGTTAAGAGGCGTCATGGCTTATATATGTCATCTTTCCTCGTATCATTGTTGTGACGTTATCGTGTGTATTTTTCATGTGCGTTTTTCTGTGTTCTGTTGTCATGCGTGAATGCATATGTTCGCGTATATAGGATGATCATCTACATTCGTTCTCTTAGTCTTTCTGCATAGATCATGAATATTCTTTCTGATACTTTTCAGGAAGTTCTTGGTTCTCTACTAGCTTGTGGATACATATGATGCGTTATAGCGATTTCCAGGAAATTGTATGACTTTTGAAAATCCAATTAATTTCCGGAAATTGAATTTGGTCATCGGATACATTGAACTGACCAAAAATCTATGATTTCCTTAGTTTCCATGATCGTCATTATGGACTTTAGGATTGACTGCCATAATGGACATAAGGGACATAAGGGACATAATCCCCATTATGGACTTTAGATTTGACTGCCATAATGGACATAATCGCCATTATGGTCTTTAGATTTGACTGCAATAATGGACATAATGGACATAATGGCCATAATGAACATAATGACCATAATGAACATAATGACCGTAATGGACATAATGGCCTTAATAGCCCTAATGGCAGTTAGCGGCGCAGGTGACAGTGGGCTAAATGAATTTCGTCAGTCATCAACCACCCAAAATCTGACACACATCAACGCTGCAGTTGAGGCTGCAGCGAAACGCGTGTTAAGGATAACAGCAAACTCAGAATCTGACAGACATAGATCAGCACTGCAGATGAGGTGCGTGTGTGTTGCTTATTCTGGACCACATCCATATGATGCATTCTTAGAGTTTTCTGGAAAATCCATCGACCTTCCAGACAACGACCTTTCTGGAAACCCAAATTGAATATCCGGAAATCTTATTTGACTTTTCCCAAACCAATTCGACTATCAATAATCAAAAAAAATCCACAAGATAATGCCTTTCGGGAAACCAATAAATAAATCTAGGAAAATGTAAAATTACTTTCCGCAAAGGCAATCAGCTTTCCAACAAGAAAAAAGTAATGCAAAATATCTCGATCAAGTTCACATTAACACAGTACATAGCGATTTTGAAATGAACACATCAAACTCTGTCCAAAAGTAGCAACCCAACTCGGCGACACATAAGCAAACATTGTAAACACAAAAACCATTAGATTTCAAAAACAATATATTTATGATAAAATATCCTTTGATATTAACGGAAAGGAATCCTCCGAGACACTCAAAATACGTCATTAATCCAAGCTGTCGCAAATAGCATATTCTTCCACTGCAAGCAAAACCCATGTGCAAAACCATCACGGTACTCCCCAAAGCTTTGCCTAAGTAGATGCCTCATAACTACATAAACACACACCCCACGATAAACAAGGTAGACGTGCCGTGAAGAACCGACGCAGGGTGGGTACGGCGAAAGCAATTCCATCACAGTCCACGCATATATCCATATACATACACCTCGATACACACAACCATTCATACACACACACATCATCGCAGCTCGTGCGGGTGCGGCGAAAGGAGTTCCGCCACTATCGACTGACACGCAACTATACACAGACATCATCGCAGCTGGTCCGGGTGTGGCGAAAGGAGTTCCATCACTGTCGACTAGCACACATCTATATACACACACATCATCGCAGCTTGTGCGGGTGCGGCGAAAGGAGTTCCGCCACCGTCGACTCACACTCATCTATACACACATACATCGATACGCACAGACATCCATAGACACACACATCCATGCACACACACATCATCGCAGCTGGTGTGGGTGCGGCGAAAGGAGTTCCATCACTGTCGACTCACACACATCTATACAGATACACTTCTCTGTCGAAGTTGTAACTTGGATAGGACATATAGATATACGCATGAAAAGAAAGTCTTTTTTATGCGTAGCTAACAAGACTGTCTCCTATCATTTTAACTGAAATTTGCTCTGGAATATAACAGTACTGCTACATGTATTGCCTGGAATGTCACCGATGTATGGTTTATCAAAAGCTTTATTGCAGTTCGGGGAAATTGAAATCGATTTCCTAGAAATGGAAAAGTGCCCATTATGTCCATTATGTCCCTTATGTCCATTATGGCAGTCAAATCTAAAGTCCATAATGGCGATTATGTCCATAATGTCCATTATGGCAGTCAAATCTAAAGTCCATGATGGCGATTATGTCCATTATGTCCATTATGGCAGTCAACTCTAAAGTCCGCTATATCCTTTCTTATGGCTGTGGCAAAAATGAATTTCCCGGAAAACGCTATAACGCATCAAATCTGTGGATATCTCCTTTTGCTTCTGTACTCATGTATATTTATATACCACTCGTTTACAACAATAAGCGTGTTATACATGCACAATGAAGCTAAATTTGTCTTTGAGCAGAACTGGTTAATTGTCGACAGTCTGTCTTAAGCTTTGCGACATCTTGTGTTTGATTTTGCGAACGATCTTACTGCAATCTCCTTTCCGTGCATTGTGCACTGCTGACGTTAAGAGATCAAAATTCTAAGTTATGAATCATAATCCATTAAAGTCTTACTGAATTATGGAACTTCTGGACATGTTCTCTGTAACTACATATAGGTTTGACTGCATTACGAGACATTTGAGCATTATTTATAATAATGTATGAAAATGTGATAACATACGTCGAAAGTTTACTGAATTGTCGAACGTTGATGAGTTATTTCTGAAAATGCATTGAAATGCATTGAATGCTTTAGCAATTTTTGGGTCATTTTAACATTATTTTCAATAATCAATGCATGGCAATGCATTTTTCTCCAAAGCATTTTGCCTAAATATCACATTATTATCCAACAATGCATTGAAATGCATTGCTGTTCCATGGAATTTCGAGCCATTTCTGCATTATTTCTAAAAATGCATGCCAATCCATTGAATTTCAATGCATTATCCATCATTAGAACATTATTGGTAAAAAATGCACCGAATTGTGTTGAAATTGCAAAAAATAATGCATTATCATTAATTATTTGGCATTTTTCTCAAAATAATGGACAGTAATGCATGATTTCCCCATTATTTATGCGTTTTCGACTACATGGGTAGGATGTTTATTGGCCGATAAGCCAATGGGAGAAATGAAATTTTCTGCTAACATACTGTTCATCACGAATGAAATGGCAAATAAATGACACTAATCTACGTCTTGAATAGACTAATTCTTTATTATGACTGATAGAGAATTAAATTCTCTATTTGATGAGATTGATTCGAAATAAAAGCAATATTGTTTTACAAAGATCCTAGCATGATATCTCACAATATCGACGACAAATTCAACGATGAGAACTTAAAGATAGATGTTCCTTAGCCCTTTTTGTCTTAAGCATAATCGAATAGATCTGAAACACCTGTCGAACAACTTAACATAAAATTCTAACCGAGACTATAAGTAAATTTTTGTAAAGCTAAAATGTGTATATTTGTGGTCAAATGTTTTTCTCTCATCCTTTTGGTTAGTAGAACCACATTTTTCTAACATAAATTTCTTTGAATATTTTAGGTTTATAGAATCAGTTTCAAGATATTATGAATGTTCCTTCAATTGTAGCAGATGTTTGGAATGAAGATTGTGAACATTTATCTCAGCATTGTTTGTCCGAATGGGTAGTAATATCTGCATATCCTATTTTTCCTGGAATGTTTCAATTTATTTATCTAACTAATCGATCAGTTGATGAATTCAAAAAAAATGTTGCACCTAATTTTGTGTGCTTCAATGCACGAAGATGTCCTGTGTTAGCATCAAAAATTGTTTCTATTAAAATACTTGATGGATTATCATGTTGTCATCTTTCGAATCTAACAGATGTTCAATTCAAAGATTTTAATGAAATAGTTAAAAAATTCGGATCGCTTAACCAACATTGCTTAAGAAATGGAATTGAACAATCATGTACAGATCCATCTTATTTTCATTGCAATAAATCCATGAAATGTATTCCATATCATCGAGTTGGTGATGGTGTGGTTGATTGTCATTTTAGAGAGGGCGAAGATTTTAATGCTTGTCAATTGAATGATACAACTCGATTTAAATGTCAATCAAATTTGAATAAATGTTTTTCACCAGTTGTCATTGGTGATGGATTTCATAATTGTCTTTCGAGAGAAGATGAAATATTTACATACACCAACTGATGATCGTATTAGTTTAAAAGCGTTTACCTGTTTCTGTCCAGAAGATTATTCAGGTCAATTATGTCAAAATAAAAATAATCGAATTGATGTACGTTTAGACGACACAATAATATCCATAACTTCATTATTACTTTTACATTTCATTACTATATTTGAAGATGCTGAATATGAACGAATAACTATATTAAAAAGAGTTCCTTTTAATCAAAATATTTTAACAATTATTGTAAGATAACCATTTAATATATACTCTTTGTTCAAATACCTAATCAACATTATTATTTAACAGTACTTCGAGAAGTATTTAAGCCTTCAGAATATATTTATGCAGAAATACAACCAAAACAACGCTGTTATTCTATCAATGATCTTTTGAATAGTACTTATTTAGAATATGAATATTTACGGCGAGTAAAATATTATCCATTGTTATGTCAAGAAAATCATAGATGTCATAATACCATTACACTGGATATCGAGAGCCAACCGTCAAAATACCCGCAGAGTAATCAAGTGTATTCACTTTTCCGATCTATAATTTACGAACAGGAGTAATGGCTTCAATACCCCTTACATAAACTATATATCGTACAAGTTGAGCGTTTTGAGTGGATTTGGTGTAATGACGTCATCATCTCGAGGTAATACACCAAAAACCATTCAAAACGCTCAACTTTAAAAAGTATATAGTTTCCATGGCACATAGTGATATCATTACCCTTGGGGTAATTGCTGTTTCGCGGCGGATACCCGGTGTAACGGAATTATGACATCACTCAAGAAAATTTACAAATGATGTGTTTTTATGATAAAAATCTCATGTGTGTATGTGATATTAATCGATTTTCTAATTGTTTTCTATTTAATCATACATCAAATAATGATTGTCAAGGATATAATCGTTGTGAAAATGGTGGTCAATGTTTTCAAAACAATGAAACATGTCCAACAAAATCAACTTGTATATGTCCAGATTGTTATTATGGTGCTAAATGTCAATTTTCAACGAAAGGCTTTATGTTTTCACTTGATTCAATTCTTGGATATCATATTAAACCAAAGATATCAATTAATCGACAACCACTAATTATTAAAATAAGTATTCTTATTAGTACAATTATGTTAATATCAGGATTAATTAGTGGATTATTATCGATTGTAACATTTCGTAGAAAGAAACCAAGACAAGTTGGTACTGGTTATTATCTTTTATTATCCTCGATTACTTCAATATTTACAATAATTATATTAACTATTAAATTTTGGCAATTAATTTTTTCACAAATGTCTTTGATCAATAATCGATCTATACTGTATTTCAATTGTATCTCCATAGACGTTATTCTTAAAATTTTTTTATCATCAAGTGAATGGCTAAATGCATGTGTAGCTATTGAAAGAATAATTAGTATTATGAAAGGTGTTCATTTTAATAGGAAAAAAAGTAAAAAATTATCTAAATGGATCATTGTAAGTGTATTTATTTTAACAATATTTACATACATTCATGATCCTATTCATCGTCAATTAATCGATGATATAGATATTGATGAACATCGAATTTGATGTTTTGTTCGATATTCATCATCTGTTAATACTTACAATTCATTTATTACACTTTTTCATTTTCTAACTCCGTTTTCAATTAATGTTATATCTGCTCTTTGGATTATTATAGCATTAGCTTATAATCGCAGTGGTGTACAACCTGATCAATCATTTCAACAACATTTACAACATCAAATACAAAAACATCAACATTTTTTATTTGCACCATGTACGTTAATATTATTGAATTTACCTCGATTGATAATTTCATTTACAAATGGATGTATGAGATCAGCACGTAAACCATGGTTATATCTTATTGGTTATTTTGTCTCATTTATTCCATCAATGTTAATATTCTTTGTTTTTATATTGCCATCAAACAATTACAAAAATGAATTTAATACAATGCTTCAAGAAACAATGATAAGATTTCGTAGATCTTCTTGATGTGTTTATCACAATAATTCTTTTATTTTGAACAGTTCTTCATTTTATTTCATTCATTTTAACAGAAAATAGATATTTTCAACAAATCTTTAATTTATCTTCAATAAATGATTAATCGAAAACTTGTTTCAATATAATAAATATTTCATACTACTATTTAAGGTTGACCAAAAGTTTTGGCCACGGCGTTTAAACGACTTTGTCGAATAAGATGATCTATTCAGAAACGAAAAAATCAAATAAACCATGTTCTAGAGGTTTTTGAGGGACTTCGAATAGTATAAAGTAAATCCTATTTTCATAAGATTTTGAATAAACAAAAGTCAATTTACTGATAGACGACTATACACCCACAAGATGACCAGAGATGCTACATATATGAGATTGTATTGCGTCAAAAGCTCTACGAAATCGTATACAAGAAAAAATATTTCACAAATATTTTTAACTAATACTAAGGACCACAATATTCAGTAACTTATCATGCTTAGGTGTGAGGGTGTAGTCGTCTATCACTAAATTGACTCTAGTTTCTTCAAAGTCTTATGAACACAGGAGTTACTATATACAATTGAACACGTCTAAAAAAATTCTACAACATGGTATATTTGATTTTTCATTGCTGAATAAATCACCTTATTCGTGAAGATTCTTTAGATACCGTGACCAACACTTTTGATCAACCCTAAATATTTAGTTCCAATGTTTCATTAAAAAAAAAACCATTTCTATCAATAAAAGACTATGAATAAGTGACATCTATTACACTCACATTTGGTAAAATATGTGTTCATGTAAAATTTTCTACGGAACTCTGCCAATAAAATAAATTTAAAATTGATTATGCAAAACTAAAACTAAAGTTCATTTCATTTATTCTTTTGGAACAATTTATGGTCCAATCTGTACTACTTATTTATTCAGCTTGTCCACTTTACTAATATATCTGTACCTACTATTTAGTAAACAATATGGTCATAATAAAAAATCAAATTATTCTTTTGATAGAGTACGAATTAAATCAAATATCAAATTGAATGAATTGATATTAATCTTTTTTTTCTCGGAATGATGTGATCGAAAAATATATAATATTAGAACGCAATGATCTCCTCTGTAGACAAAGAATAATTGTAGAAAAACTTTGTGAATCATTGCAATTATTAAAAAACCTCTGTTATTGATTTAATTAATTATAAAGAAGATGCTGACATAACTTAAAAAAGCTCTACATGAACTACTTTGTTCACTTAATGATGATCATTTAATTGTTACTGAACAAGTAGCATTAATTCTACTTACATAAACTCAAAATGAAATCTCTCGATTAGCATTAACTACATCATAAATGATATCCATGCGATGTGTTAACGATGAAACATGTCAAGGTGTTGCTGATGTTTTACATTGTTTATCTTAACAAAAGAAACAAGATCTTACATATATTATATAGAAATGATTATGAAAAACTTTAAATGAATAACCATATATTTTCGTACTTTATCTGTTACTTCATTATGATATCAAAAAATGCAATTAAAATTTTTGTAAAATAATGATATTATCGAAAAAAGTTAAAGTAACAAAGTTGTTCACAAATTCTTTGAAATTTATTAGAATGATCTACTAAATTAGTTCGTAATAAATTCATTTTTTAAAATTCTGAATATTTATTTTTCATTTATAGGAAAATCTCGATCGATTAATTCATATAATTATTAAATTATCATAAATATAATTTATACACGTATTAATACAATAATTTTATATTATAATAAAGAAAATTAAATTGTAAACAATCTGTTAGTAATTTCTGATTTACTGAATTCAACAATATATTCATGGCCTATTATAAAATTCACAATTAATTTAATCAAAGATTTAGATTTATCAAAAATAATCTTTCAATTTTATGTAAAACTAGTGCAATACAAAAAACTAAAACAATTATTTGTTCAAGATCATGAAGCATTAGACAAGTAACAATTTAATTGAAAATACATTGATAAATATTAAAATATGGATGATAGCTTTGTAATTTGTGCTAGTGTATTACGTATATTGTGTACTTCATCGTTGAAAGAAAGTTATAGCTATTTACAGAAGCTCGTTTCAACAATCGTCCTTTTCGTTCGTTTTTTTTTATTATATACTCGATAGAGGGAGTTGCTATTCAATTATAATAAGTGCATCATGAATAGTAATGTGCTCTTCTTTCACTAACTTAAGTTTGTTATCAACTTATCATATCAGTATTATTATTGAGAACAATTAATATAAATGCAAGAATACAAGACAAGTCTATATTTTTCCTAAGTTAACTTTCGATAGGAACAAGATATAGGATGGAGGATTTCACCATTTATAAGAGAGACGATCGAGCTACAAAACTATATCAAATTTAATCAGTCAACAATTACCGAAACAGGTGAGTTCTTGGTAAATATTTATGAAAACGACATTCTTAAGGTATTTCATATTGCATTCTTATTTGCAATATAATTCTTCGATAGAGAAATTAATCTCTTTTGATCTGTATAAAATAGATATTTATATCTTGTTCAGCAACTTTAGATTTGTAGTGATTACATCGCGATTCACTTTAAAGCAAGTCTTGATAAGGATAATTAATCAAATCTAGTTAAATGACAATGTTTATTCTTGCTTTAGAAAAAGATCTCAAACGAGGGCAGAAAGGTTTTTAAAGTATTAATTTTCTCGGTATAGAGATGAGGCATCTAATTCTGCGAAACTTTTGTTGTTGTGATTTTAAATCTTTTTCGAAGCAAAAAAAAAACATTATCAACTGACTAAGATTAGTCCATCACGACTATCAAGACATGTTGTCAGATGATCGACGATAATATAGTTGAAATTTAAGGTCTTTTCGAAACCTCTATAGCTTTGGAATAGAACATGATCGCGATGTCAACATTGTGGAGATTAAAGAAAAACAAGTTTCCCTACCGGATAGCCATATTGCACGTCAAAATTCAATAGAAAATACTTCGATAGTCTTCGTTGAAAAAAATATGTATCGAGAACTCATCTGTGAATCAACCAAATTTGACATAGTTTTGTAGTTAAATCATTTCTCTTACCATCTCCTATCAACACACACATAATATTAGCATGTTTCTAATACTGTAGGTATCATTTCAGAATACTGTCAATAGCGCTTTGCCATAGAAATGAAGATTGCCTGCAACAGACATCAATTAACATTTTCAGAATAATAGAATGTCGTATTTTGACGAAGTGCATATCAATCTTTATAAAAGTTTATGGCGAAACGACGAAAAAAAATCTAAACGTAGTTAAGATTTCAAATTGTTCTTGAAATAGATAAGATAATATCGAATACTTTGCAAAGAAATAGATTTTTTTCTTTGACATAAAAAATATTCGACGGTCAGAATAATTCTTTTTTTTAAAGTTTGTTTTCCAAAATTTGTTTTAATCTTACAAAATCTTTTCATTTGTTCGATAAAACCTAATGATTAGAAAATATTCGTTTTGTTTTTCTAAATAGTTTCTTTCTTCATCGACCAATGCATCAATTCAACATGGAGTTACAGATGTTTTATAGGAACTTGTTAATGATCATTGATTTGATAAAATAACTGAACAGAAAAACTCTATAGAAAAATTAATAGATTTACTTGAATCAAATGATGAAACTGTTTGTCAATTGGAATTTTTTTTTAAATAAAATTTAAAGTAAAGATTATTGTTTATTATAATAATAATAAATGCAGTTACAATTTTATTTTGTTTATCAAATGAAAAACCAAATGATTTAAGAAGTCATCTGTCAGAAAATATTACCTCAGCATTCCATAAATAATGTAAATTTAGTTGTACTGATATTAAAATCAAACTATTATGATTTGTTTTTCAATTTTAGTACAATAATTTGAGTGGTCAATTTTATTCAAATTTATTTTGGACTGCCATGGCTAAAAGTCATCCATCGAATGGTATACTGACTATGTTGTAACATACACCCAGCCTTGTGGCTAATATATGATTTGTTAGTATGTCTGGAGAGCTCAATTAATTGAACGCAAAAACTGTACGTCAGGCTGATCTTCTGTCTATGGTCACAGCTACTATTGGTTGAAGAAAAGACATTAGGCTATCGAGTGAACCACTAGGCAGCACCCCATACTGCAAAGTCACTGACAAACAAAAAATATTCTGCTTTTTCTAACTCATATCAAATAATATCTAATATACCTACAATGAATTCTTATGTATCAGAAGATTCAGCTGGTAGTGTTTTTGGTGCTTTCATGAATAATAAAAGTTCACAATCAGCAGTTTGGTTTCATAGGGATTTCATGAAAAACCTAGTTGTAGGAATTATATGGATGTAAATGTTTATACAGATACATACATATCAAGAAAATAGATATTTGTTTTAATCAATTTGATAATTTATTCATATTGTTTTAAATCAAAGACTTATTTGTTCAATAAAAAAAAATTATATATTTTGTCTTCTAAAATTTTGAATAACTTTGTTCATTGAATAATAAGTCCATTTTTACACTTTTATTTATATACTTTTGTAGAATATACATTTGCTTGTTATTATTGTAGATAAATTTTCATAGTCAACGAACGTCTTAGCAAAAAAAAAAATCATGGCTCGATCAAAATGTTTCTTGTATGTTAGAATTAAGTTTGTGTTATTTATATTTGAAAATAAATATCTTTTTAAATTTAGTGATATTAATGTTGAAGATAAACCGTTAGGACGAATTATATTTCAAGTTTGTTAAATAAATATTTCTTTCAATTATTTTCTATTGTTAAAATTTTATTTTCTATTAGCTCTATAATGATGTTGTACCAAAAACAGCTGGTATGATGATAAGAGATTAAATTAATCAATGATAAATTTCGATGTCTTTTGTATATAGAAAATTTTCGAGCTTTATGTACCGGTGAAAGAGGTTTTGGATATAAAGATTCAATTTTTCATCGAGTAATTC